TTTTTTTTTTTTTTTTGATTATTTTTTAGTAAAAAAATTAATTAGATTATAATCATATCAATGATCGAATAAAATTGAAAAGAAATATTAATATAAATTGTAAATTTAAATTAAATAACATCATGCATTTGTAATATAAATGATTGAAATAACGTATTGAGGTATCAACGTAAAATATATGGAAAACAATTGAGTTTCTAAGAACAAATAAAAATAAAAATAGCTAAAGAGAAAAAATATTATCTAATATAAATATGATAATTCTTCTTTCCCTTTGTGTGGATGTTTGAAGCTAGAGGGGTTATTAGAAACAAATTCTAAACAATAGGTGTTGATGGACGGATCCAAGCAACAGTTAAAATAAAGTTTAGTAAAGGTAAAGAACTAAAAGTAAGGAGAAGATACAGGTTAATTATGTTTTATTATGTAATTGCAATCGACGCTCTCGTACGAAAGTAAGGAGAAGATACAGGTTAATTATGTTTTATTACGTAATTGCGATCGGCGCTCTCGTACGAGGTCGACACTTTTATCGCAGTTGAAATTACTACGGGAATTTATTACAGATTTTTAGAGAGAGAAAGTAGAGAGAAGGCAGAGTAGTTGAGGATTCAACAACCCAAAATAAATGAGATGAGTTCCTATTTGTAGTATCCTTAAATACTACTATTCAGGTACTGTTCACTGGTCTTGTCGCACAGTGTGTTTGCAGAGCAGTCCGGCGCCTTTCTGACAGTTATTTAATGCGATTTGAGGTTTCTTCCATCATTACCTATCAGGCATTTAATGCACACATGGTGGGCATTTAATGCCTTGCAGGCTTTTGTCGGGTTAGATGCTGGTAGGGTGGCAATCTTTGGCGGTCTGTCCCGTCGCCAATGATGATCCTCCAAGTGGGAATATTTTAACATTATTCAGCCTCGCGCTCGTCTCCAGAGTGGTTGCTCTGGGCCTCCAGGTCGGCACTCGAACCAAATGTGCTCCTTAAGTCTTTAGGATTCCTTTTTCAGCCCGGCACCCCGTGAGGTTGGTACCTCAGGCTCTTGATGCCGGGTGCCGATCTCGTAAACTGTTCCTATGATGGTCATGATCACCTGATTTCGAAATTCAGCTCGGCACTTCCGTGCAGGACCGAGTTCTTAACTCGGTGCAGGAGGTCACTCCTGTCCGGTTCTTTTCTGGCTAACTCGGATGTCAACAATAGGCCTAATTAATTTTGATTTGAAAGAAAAAACAAAAGTTATATCAACCAATTCAAATGTTCTTTAATGTCATATTTCCATACACCTATATTAATTTTAAATAAGAGGCTAATCTCCCTGTATATAATTACCGAATGTGTTGAGCTTAAGTGGCAGGCTCGCGTTCTTCGAGATTCAATTTATCGTAATTTTGTGTTTTGGACTGACACATAATTAGGTATGGGTGTCATGTGAAATGTCAATTAGGCATGGTTATTTCACATTATATTAAATATTTTCCTTCATTGAAACAATCATTATTTATTTTACTCCATATTTTTATTTCATGGTTTTTTTTCTCGAAACGATAGAATTTTATAGAAACGAAAAACACATAATTACAGCTAAAAAACAGCTAGAATAGCCAAGCATCCAAACAGCTGAATCCAGGAGGACTATATGGAGGTAGCTTAAAAGTAAGTATACTAACGCACCCACAACACAACAAATTGTACAGCGCCCAACATGACAAAAACATGCTCCCAACAACAGAAAAACAACATAACTAAATGATCACACATCTCCCAAAGGGGAGAAAGCACGACCCAAACACAACAACAAACACAAAAAAA